ACCTAAACCCTAAACCCTAAACCCTAAACCCTAGACCCTGTAATAGGGTTCAGGGTTCAAACCATCGAAAAAACTTCGCAGCTCCAGCTGCCCTCGCCTCGCGATGAGCCCAAACAACCCTGAGCAGCCCTGCAGCCCTCTGAGCCTAAGCCTTGACTGCAAACCTGAGAGCTTGCAAAACCCTAGACCGTTGGGGTTTAGGCTTTGCAGCGCTTAGGGTTTAGGGTTTAGGGTTTAGGGTTTAGGGTTTAGGGTTTAGGGTTTAGGGTTTAGGGTTTAGGGTTCAGCATCTCAAGTTCGAGCATTTACTAGGCCAGCAATGTGTTCAGGCAACGGAAAAAAACCCACCCGCCCAAAGAATCCCATAACATTAAGAAAACAAAAGGTTTTCTTCCTACTCCAAAGAGTTTTACCTACCCAAGTCAGACACGTTTTCAACTATCCAACCTCCTTCTTCTCTAGGCACGTGGTCAACAGAATGCACTTGTTAACCACATGTTTCTGTTTCGAGCGGACAAGAAAACCAAACGTGGTCAACAGAATGGATTAGTTAACCACATGTTTCTGTTTCAAGCGGACAAGAAACCAAACGTGGTCAACAGAATGGATTTGTTAACCACACGTTTCTGTTTCAATCGGACAAGTTCACCAAACGTGGTCAACAGAATGGATCTGTTTATCACATTTGGAAGCCATCTTGAGTTTCTTGAATCGATTGAGGGGCTTCAGGGGCCGGGGTGGGGGGGGTGTGGGGTGGGGGGGGTGTGGGGGGGGGGGGGGGGGGTGTGGGTGGGGGTGGGGGGGGGTGGGGTGGGGGCGGGGGTGGGGGGGGGGGGGGGGGCTTGCCCGCTAAATATATGACCTTGCCCGCTAAATATATGACCTTGCCCGCTAAATATATGACCTGGCCCGGGCAATATATTTAGCGGGCAAGGTCATATATTTAGCGGGCAAGGTCATATATTTAGCGGGCAAGGTCATATATTTAGTGGGCAAGGTCGCCCTTTAGCGGGCAAGGTCATATATTTAGTGGGCAAGGTCATTTTTTAGCCAATGGACCTTGCCCACTAAATATATGACCTCGCCCGCTAAATATATGACCTTGCCCGCTAAATATATGACCTTGCCCACTAAATATATGACCTTGCCCGCTAAATATATGACCTTGCCCGCAAAGTCATTAACATTTATATTATATATGAAAGAGTGGTTTAGGGTTTAGGGTTTAGGGTTGACCCCTGAACCCTGAAAATGTATTTGCCTCCGCAATCGCCGATGCCCCCGCCACTGTAAGCAACGACCTGCCATCAGCCGTGCGGGGTGTGGAGCTTCCAAGATTTACGCTTTAGGGTTTAAGGCTTAGGGTTCTTGGTGCTAGGGTTTCGCAACCCTAGACACCCCCTTAAAACTTAGCGTCCTGGCCAGCGAGATTCGGGGTTGCGGAGGTTCTACATTTCGGTGTCGAGAGTTTGAGCTTTGAGAGTTTCGAGGCCATTTTATTTTAAGGGTCTCTTCCACAAGGGTTTAGGGTTTAGGGTTTGGGGTTCAGGGTTTAGGGTTTAGGGTTTAGGGTTTGGGGTTTAGGGTTTAGGGTTAAGCCCAGAAGCCTGTTCTTGGGGCTGCGACGACAGCAGACTCTGAGTTGCTTTGCAGGGTGCCTAGGATTACACTCTATACTATATTAATACTTTGTACAATATACGATGTACTATAAACTATATACTACATACTGTATACTATATACTACATACTATACAATATTACTCTATACTGAATACGAAATACTCTATACCATATACTTTATCTTATTTTATATTATATGTGTATGTATATATACTATAATCTGCATACCTAACCCTACATTTATAAACCTTACACCCCAAACCTCCATGCCAGACTCCTGCGCCCACATTCTAAACCTCCTTGGATTGAAGGGTCCATTCGGGCAGGCAGGCGTTGCTATGCGGTTTAGGGTTTAGGGTTTAAGGTTTAGGGTTTAGGGTTTAGGGTTTAGGGTTTAGGGTTTAGGGTTTAGGGTTCTCATTTCCCGGATCCCTGCTGTATATCAAGGATCCGAAGCCTGAAGCTAAGGAATCGGGGCACCCAGGCGTGCTAGGATGTATATCTGCTTTAAGCACTTACAAGTTCATGCAAGTAGGTGGCAGGGGTACAACGGTAAAAGCTCAAAAACCGTGATTCGTAGCATTTGCAAAGTTCCCCCACCATCCCCCGCCCTGTCGTGGGATTTATTTAGTGTTAAGGATCCCTGAACACTAAACCCTAAACCTTGCAAACTCTACCTCTTCGGCAGCATCCATGGACACGCCGAGGTCTCTCATCGTTGCCTGCGTCAAGTGGGCTTCAGAGCTTTAGAGCTCGGGGCTTGGAAATAGGGTTCAGGGTATAGTGGCTAGGGAGGGAGTAGGGCTGCGGTTTGCCCCCTCACTTGCGTTCCCCGAAGGTCAGCGGTGATGCATAGGGTTTAGGGTCTAGGGTTTAGTGATGTAACTACAGAACGCGATCTTGAGCGTGTGCCGATGGCACTCCCCCTGGCGATAAGTTAAAAGCCTACACTGCCTGAGACCCGCCCTCCAACCTACACCCCCCAAACCCTAAACCCTAAACCCTAAACCCCAAACCCCAAACCCTAAACCCTAAACGCACTCTCCGGTTCCCTTGGTCCATCTCCAGCCTGAAAGTAGTCTGCCACCGTATGGGCAAATCCCAAGCCGCGAAAAGCGTCCTGGACCAGGTGCCCTACAAGGAGGGGTTTAGGGTTTAGGGTTTAGGGTTTAGGGTGTTTAGGGTTTAGGGCCCGCTACTATACTAACTACAGTTAAGGAACTTATAACCTGGGTTAGGACCCTTGTAGTGATTACTTTCTTCGTTTGCGAGGGCTGGATCTTTTCATAAAGGAAATCCTATCTGCAAAAGGAGCCCTGCAAGGGGACCGCTTCTTTTGGAACTTTCCAGCATGCGGACACAGATATAATATTAGTATGTGCACGTGTGCATGTGGGCAGAAAGGTCTCTGTGTCCAAGAAACCCAACATTTTGCTCCCTTGCAGTGAGCGGTGGAAGATAATGTCAGCGCAACATGTAATTAACTTGTCCGTCCCCAGTAGACAAAACACCTCGTACCGGCCCCCCACGCCCCCCCCTTCTATACTACTACCCCCCCCCCTAGCTTCCCCCCGAAATAACCTTAGCTAGGCTTACTTATCCCTAAATGGCCTTTATTCTGGGGGGGAACCTAGGGGGGGGCACCCATTCCAACCAACAAACTCGAGGCGAAGGAAGGCAACCGGTCTTCGATGCCAGGTTAGGCTGGCCCTACCCCTAAACCCTAGAAACCCAGAAACCCAGAAACCCTAAACCCTGGCCCTATACCCTAAACCCGAAACCTCTGCAAGCTCCATAGGGTTCAGGATTGGCCGCAAAGATCGAACCCTGACGAAGCCTGCAGGTCTCTATCAGGGTTTAGGGTTTCATAGGGTCTAGAGGGTTTAGGGTTGATAGGGTTTGTAAAGTTTCGGGTTTTAGAGTTTAGGATTCAGGGCTAAACTTAGGGCTTGGAACCGCAAAAAGCAAAGCCGCCTGCCCCACCGCGATGCGCAGGGCGATGCCGGACGCGAAGGAGGCGGCGTAGGACCTGTTGGGTTTAGGGTTGGGTTTAGGGCTTAGGGTTTAGGGTTTAAGTTTAGGGTTTAGGGTTTATAAAGGGTTTAGGGTCTACCTACCAGGATGGGCTATTGTAACATCGTAGGTGCTTAGACCACCCTCCACCCCAAAACAGGCCTTTGAACAAGTAGCAGCTGCGATTGAATTTCGAGCCCAAGTATTCGCATGCTCAAAACCCCAAACCCCTAAACCCCAAACCCTAGATCCTAGATCTTTGAGACTTGTTGTTCGATTGCAGCTCTGTCGAGTCTCTTAAAACCCCAATATGGGGGCCTGAATAATTAGAACAGGGTGTTGGAAGGGGCTATTTTAGTAGATTTAGAAATGGCCAGAAGGGAATACCCTTAGGGTTTAGGGTTTAGGGTTTAGGGTTTAGGGTTTAGGGTTTAGGGTTTAGGGTTTAGGGTTTAGGGTGTAGCAATCATTCCGACCGGCATAGTAGACCGTGAACCCTGGACCGTGATCTGAGGGGCCCGGGCGGCTCATTTCCGAGTGCCGAGAGGGCCGTGACCTTCGGGCTTAGGGCTTGACAGGGTTTAGGGTTTAGGGTTTAGGGTTTAGGGTTTAGGGGGGCTCACGAGAGGGCCGTGACCTCAGGGTTTAGGGCTTACAGGGCCCATAGGGTTGATAGGGCGGAAACAGACTCTAAACCCTAAACCCCAAATTCAAATGCTAGTTCTTAAGGTTATCGGGTTTACGGGGTTCACAGGGTCAAACTCTAAACTCTAAGCCCTAAACCCCAAATTTAAATGCCAGTTTTTGAGGCTATCGGGTTTATGGGGTTCATAGGGTTTTTAGCACAGCTGGGAGGGCACCGGGGGTTTGGGCTTCTGGGTTCATGGACTCAGGGGTTCAGGGTTTAGGGTTTAGGGTCTAGGGTTTAGGGTTCAGACAGAAGGATAGGTTGAGGGTTCCAGGTATAGGAGGCAAGAGAACCCAAGAGCCCATTTCTCAAAATGCTCGGTAGGGTTTAGGGTTTCAGGGTTCAGGGTTCAGGGTTTAGGGTTTAGGGTTTAGGGTTTTAGGGTTCAGGGGGTTCTGGGGCAACCAAACAGATATCATATGTGGGCCTTAAGAATGAGAAGAGTTTTTTTTTTTTTTTGGGGGGGGGTTCTTCTAGTAGAATTCTAGAGGGGCCATAAGGGAATACTGGTAGGAAGTATTCCGACCCCTATATTAGCTTTGGGCCGGTTCTTACAGCGCATACTCGGATTTAGGGTTGAGGGCCGAAGTTGTTCCTAGTTGAGGGCTTACTTGGTAGCCCAGTACATTCCTTTATAAGGGAACCTTGAACGCTGG